TTATGTAAGAATCCGATAACCAGAACGAAACGAATGTCAGTGGGACAAGTATGAAGCTATAGAGTGCGCAATGAGTCGAAAGAACGCAAATTGATTCTGAGGAGAATAATCAACACTCCCGCACCAAAGCCAGGATGGTTTTCCTTACTATCCACCCCACATGCTGTGATAATCGTAGCCTACGAGATGATTCAAACCACGGGGCGACACGTTACAATTTCCGGACATCTGTGATGAATCAAGCCCTCCCAGGCGGTGCCAACCAAGCTCCTGCGCGGTACAGTTTTTGAGCTTAGAATGACAGGCCGATTGTGATGACCAATCAGAGGTCGTGCGGACCAGACAGAAGCTGTACGACGTCAAGAATACGAGTAAACCATTAGCAGATACTTGAATAAACAATACTGATTCCAGATTAGCACACGGTAAAACAACCGCAATGTCTCAAATCACTGAAACCGACAAATAGTAAGTTGGACTGCTTTTCGGATTAGTCAATTGCGACTGCGTGATCACAACAAGAGTCAGCATTACAAAGCGCACATTGTGAAACATTCAGATGAAAGCTCCCAAACTCGAAAGCCATAACTTAAAACAGGATTCATCTTCGTTGGGAAAACGTTTCCTTATCATTTAGTGGTTAGTCACTTCGAATTGTATTGTATTGTATTATATTGAAGCTTTAGCGAGTTATATGCAAGCTTTCAGTCTGAAATAGATCACCGTTACAATTCTGGTAATCAAAAGTGAGGTGAAAAAGTGAGAAGTAAAACTTACAAAACTATGAGTTAAATACAAAGTGCATTAGAAAGCTGAGAACGAGCACTTTCCTTGTCGGCTGGTATCCGGGCAAGATAGGGTACCACAGAGTTGCTGTATACACATATGTGAGAAGGGATAAGTTTGTACTTGGAACGGGTGGAGGGGTGGGATTTGCATGCACATAGGTCAATGTGTAAGGGATGGGTGCAATTAGATAGGATATTTGCAGCAAACTTCAAGCTCACGCATCAATATGGGCATTACACATATTGCCAATCAGAATAGATAATGGAACTTGGGAGACACGGTTGATCATTGAGAGGTAACGCCTCAGTAACTTGAAATCAGCCTTTAGCAAACTAGGGAAAATTACAGGAGAGCAATAAAGGGGTATGGGGAGGATACATTGTTGAACAAAAGTGTCTATCACCGACAAATTATAACAGAAGTGGTGCAGTCTTCTTAACTGAAAAGAGACAACTTTCAACTGGCAGTTTGGGTATGTAAGGACCAGATAAAGTTACTTTCAAGTATGGCACCTAAGTACTTCACATGGCTGACTCTGCTCATTGGTTTTCCATGAATCTGGACATTGTCGGAGGATGATGAGGTACGGTTTAAAGTAAAAATACATTCAAGGTATTTTTCAGGATTAAGATCAAGACTTGAAGTTGAATATGAAACGAGGTGGGATAGGTTTGTGTTATATTCAACCAGTTCTGAATGGTTAGATACGGAAACAGAAATGGCGATATCATCAGCATACTTAAAATCTCGAACAGGGGGAGTAACAGGTAAGTCACTAATATAAATCGAAAGAAGATAAGGTGATAGGACAGCACCTTGAAGTACACCCGAGTGACGCGGTTGACTGTCTTCTTCCCAATTTGACATACTGATATCTTTGCGAAACGTAATCAGCAAGCCATTTAAGAGAAGCGGGACAGCCAAATGATTGCGGTTAGTTAGAGAACGACGCACCGAGTCGAAAGCAGAAGAATAGTCCAGAAATGCACAATGCACATATTTGATTTTCGCGTTAAGGGACCTACAAATGAAATGAACTAGAGAAGAAACAGCATCTAATGTAGAATGGTTATGTTTGTATGCAAACTGATAAGTGTCATCGTGGGTGGTAAGAGATAACTGAAGACGATGCAGAACTGATCGCTCCATCAATTTCAAACCAGTGGAAAAGGGAGAAATTTGTTTGAAAGGCTTCACTATTGGGGCCCTTGACTTTCTTTTAGGAACGGGGGTAATTCTCATTGTTCTACAGGGGCCCAGAATAGTATGGATTTCGAGTGAAAGATTAGCTAATTATGCAAACATCTGAGACAGTAGCAGAGCACTGTGTTTAAAAGGGTAGAACTTAAGTTGTCTGGACCAGGTGCGGTGTACACCTTGAGAGAACACGTGTTCATACATATCACTAGAGGTGATAGGATCAAACGAAGGTTGGATGTTTGGAGAACTGGAATCAACATAACTGGGGTATGTGTCTGGCGAAGAATGAACAAATGTAGCATTCAGTTTTTCAATATCAATAGAGGGACTGGAAAACACTTTCTTCTACCTGCAGAGTAGATCGATTCCACGCCAAATAAATTTACAGTTCCTCGTTCCAAAAAACTGACCTGCCCAAAGGGTGTCCAACCGTCTTATTTCACTCTTGATCAGAGAACAATAGTCGTTGCATTTCGGCCCTCCTGCTACGTTTAAATGCACGTTCCTTTCTACGGCGATGACGCTCAGGAAAAGGTGTTGATATTCTGCTTATTTGAAGGAACAAAATTGTCACAGAACAGTAAATGTCAAAAACAGTTTAACACTTCTGTTAGAAATGTCATATTTACAAGCAGATTGTGTTTGAAGGAAAACAGTCGGTAACTACCTTAAGACATTGTCTAAGCAAGACAATATTATCTGGGAGAAAATCTCGCTGACGGAAAATGATGTGTTTGGATCGAGTTGAAGAAAAATGTCTCGAGTGTGAGTAAATCTTAGGTTTGACCAGGATCAGGTTGTGATCACTGGTGCCTAAGGTGGAGAACTGTTTGATAGAAAATGTGTCAGCGTGATTGGTGATTATGTGATCTAGATGAGAGATTTCTCTATTTGGTTCAATAATCAGGTCACTGAGGTTTAGACAGAATAAAGGGTGCAGGGGGGAGTGGTTAAAGTCACCATCTATTAGATGCAATCTGTCAGCAAGAGATGGGGCAATAATCGGGAGGAAATTATCATAAAATGTGTCAATGTCTGATAACCTGCGATGGGGTGTAATGTATAAATTAGTGATAGCGATGAAAGGAAAGGGGGAGAACTTGGGACGACAGACGACAGTCAAGCATTCAACGCATTTTGTGAATACTTAAAAGTACTTCAGACTTGCTACACCAATTTGAATTAATGTAGATATTCAGACCGCTTGCCAACTTCTTCCAACACCTTTGTCTGTCCTGTCTGAAGCAGACAAAATTATCCAGTTGGACCACGGAATCGTCCACGTGCTCATTGAGCCATGACTCCTGAAGACAAAAAACAAAAGAGGTGCGACATTCCTTTCGCTGGAGCAGGTAGGATAAATTCGGACTCTTCCCTAACACAGAACGGACATTGTCACTCACATTGCTAGGTACAGTCATCTTGCTGGGAGTAATACGACCAAGGGCGGTCTGCCAACCGGCACGGATACGTTTTCCGCGTTTCCAGTATTTGTGCGTTTCACTAGCGACTGGCATTCCGAACATGGCCGTATCGTTTTTCATAGAAACATTCTTAATTTTTAACATGAATTCTCTTATGTATACGGTTAAAGCATATATGTTTAGCAGTTGGGTAGATGAAGTCCAGAACGCAACGGTGGCGAGAAATTGTAGCGCAGTGGTTCAAAAGGCGCGTGTCAACGGTTCACCGGTGGGAGACTGCTGGATCCACAGAGCATATATCAACAACACAATAAGTTTTATTGCCACATATGGTCCGTCTTCGTCAAACTTCCCACTCAATAATGCATATTCTCTAGTTATATCACCTTTGTGCTGGTGGACTGCCATATCCATGCTATTTCATTGTTTTCGGTCTTTGGTTTCATAATTTACTGGACTTGCAAAATTGACTTCAAGAGGTTGACGCTTATTTCAGGTTTTTTTCAGGCGAACCAAATCAGAATGGACGTGAATTTCAGGATTTATGATGCAGGCATCAATGTAGCTGCTTTTTATCAATCCGTCAGTAATTGTACCAGGGTGACACCCAGTTATAGAGTGACTCACAGATGCTGAGCCCCGACACTAAGACAGGTGAACGAAATACCGCAATATGTACGTAGTGATCAATGCAGCCCACCGATGGTCAATCGCCAATGACATTGAGCTCAACGGTTCCAAATGCAGAGTTATTTCCATGCGGCATAAGACTCGTTTCTCCTACGTTCTGGGGAACCAAATACTGCTACACGCCACTGACGAAAGGGATTTGGGAGTTATGGTACAGGTGGACGTAGGATGTTCCACACACTGTGCCAGGGCATCATCCATGGCTCTAATGCAAGTTGAACTACTCAGACGTGTTTTCGGGCAGTTCAAAAGAGCACTGTTCCCACGCTTGTTATCAGCGCTCGTTCGGCCACACACGGAGTACGCCGTTCAAGTATGGAATCCATGGTTAAACAGCGACAAGAATGCTCTGGAATGTCCGCAAAGGTTGGCAACAAAATTGGCAAAAGGTCTGTATAACAAGGCATACTCCGAAAGACTGCAAATATTGGGACTCTACTCGTCTCAAGACCGCCGACTTCGGGGGGACTTAATCTTGACATACCACATACCGTATCAATCCAGCCAACCTTGTCGTTCTACGCTGATTTTATCTCAAAATGATCACCTTAGGGAACATTCTCTAAAGGTGAACACCCAGAACAGCTATCTTGATTACCGGCATCACTCGTTTGCAGTCCATTATTATTATTTTCTCTTTGTAAAGTTACTCAAAAGATTCTGTAAAATCCTATGGGGCATGATAAGCTTCAGTTTTGTTATATCGCCCAGGATAAAATTTAAACTTTGACTTCATAATCAGTTGTGCAATCCTAAATCAATTTTTTATTACATCCCAATGTGTGATGAACAACAGACGGAGTGGAATCCATAGTCATGAAGACCTACTGTTCAGTGATGACAATCGGCAAGCTAAGCTCCGGGACTTGGAATGGTGAACCGCACAAGGCCCCGCTAGGTCAGGCGTAGTATAGAACTGAACGAAGGCAAAGCTGCCCACCACAAAAAATCTCGCGGCCCGACCGGGACTCGAACCCGGGCCCTTCACGTGACAGGCGGAGGTACTCAACACTAAACAATTAAATTAAATAGCTGAAAATAGGGGCAACCCGGTTAGAAAACAGAGTCAGTCTGACAAGGCAAGTACAAAAATGCGATTGTGTTCCCCTTGCCCCAGTCGAAGGAGAAATGCCTGTGCACACGATGGTCTAGCTATTTATATGATGTGAACCAGGGAAATACGGTAATGGACGACCGTCAGTGGCTCAAACAGAGGCCAGGCAAATAAGCTGTCTCCCAAGTCATGTGGGAGCGCGAGTGGGACGATTAATAAAAGAGGCCAACTTACAGACCAAGCGGTTGTCAACACTCCCTCAATGAAGGATTATCAAACATTCAAGGTCAAAGGGTCATGGCCTCGGCGAGTGACCTGGTCCAATTTTGAGCGTACCTTAAAAGCGATCGGGGTAAGAGATAGACAGGACTTTAGATAAACAAGTGAAATGTCAAACATGAGGTGGATGAAAAACTGTGAATGGCAATATCAACAAAGATGGACCTATGGGAACAAACTATGGGTGGCCTACAGGCGTAGTCATGGAGCATTGGAGCGATTAGTGAGTGAGTGGATATCAGGCGAGGAATGTGTCAAACGGACGAGCGGAATTTCAACCGAATATTCCAGATCTTTTACGATTCATTCAAAAACTTTTTGAAGTCCCTCTTACCAGATGCCAAGTGTTGTGGCCTGCAGTCGAGTGAAACGTTTTCGCACATCACGTGATTGACCGTCGCGGCCCGACACCACACGCACGTACGCATTGCATGCGGACTTACTCTTTCGATCCGCCTCAGCGAATCGGATGTCACTATTGATCTCTCCTCATTGATTGGTTCGTTGACTGCCCAACGTGATGACATATTCCTTTTTCTAACATTTTACCGGACCTGCCTGCGCGTTGACGCACTGTCTACTCACCGGCATACGGAACGGCTACGGCCATAGTTACATACTAGAAATAGAATCACTACTTAATTCGCTAATTGCGTACTTATTGACTTATACGAGATACAACAATAATCTTGATAGAGTCGTCAAAGATTTCATACAAGCTATCCCCCAAACATTAAATTCCTTTTGATTCTGCGAACTTTTAATTTCCTCCGATCAGGGACAATTCTTTGATTTAGATCGGAACATCACCACCTGTTTGTTTTCTCCTGAAGCAACCTATCCATATCCTAATATTCAAACCCCAAATTTTGGTGGCCTACATGCAATTTTCCCCGTTACCAAAAACCTACACCACTCCCATTTTCGCGAGGCAATTTAACTCCATCGCTGTTTGTTCACTTGCAAGTGGCAAAGTGGCTCCACTTTAGAGGGAGTAAAATATTGCATGATTCATCATATTGTAAAATTCACAGAGAGTAATCGAGAGATTAACTCAATTATCTGGTGAATTTAGCCGTTTACAAAGAAATTGAATCGGGAACTGAAAACTAGGAAGTACTATGCACAGTTGTTTTTACTTGGTCGACGGTTAACCCCATGGTCAGGTAAGATGCAAAATTTCTATCTGTGGAGTCCCGCGGTCGCGACCCGCATTAGTGCAAACGGAGTCACACTGCAGTAATGAAACCTAACCAGGTCTGAACAGCTGTTGACTGTTTTCGATCTATCCAGTTCAAGCCTCATTTGACTTGCACATGACGGCGTTCATTGTATATTGCATTCACTCTTTCAGATGCTAGTTTTTCCGACATTTGACTAAATCCCCCAATAAATGTTTCAGGGGAATCTCCTTGCGCGATTTGTTTGGTTTGCTTAAAAGATGGAAAGTGAAAATAAAAGAAGTGAAAATAGAAATATGTCCGAGCCCATACGAGTCCTGCCAGATGCTCTTCTGTAGCGATTTCCTGTTTTTGTTCAACATGCTTGCGATCCTCCTTTAAGCTCTTTATCCTATCTCTTTCCTCCGGCATGCTTCGTACGTCATTGTAGATCCGGGAATCAAGATACACTAAGATCTCGATATCATTTGTTTGCTTATTGTATTCAAATTAGTACTCTCGCCTCAGAGCACGTTCTCTTATTTACTTCTTCTTCATAGTTTGTGACTGAATTTATTTGAAACAATGATTTCCCCGAATGAATTTGAAACAGGCCAGTAGTATTATGCAAGATGTGCAGCTGCAGCGACATCTCTTTCGCATATCATCGGTTACTTCATGCGAATTACACAACTGGACATTATATATGTTGATGGGGTATGGTGACAAATAACTAACTAACCCTCTCCGCCTTATACCTACTGAAACACACACACACACACGCGCACACACACACATTAACACGTCATTCTCATCCATTTGCGAACANAACAATTTTCCACTCATCTGTATTCCAATTAGGAGAAAAAAGTGTTGGTAAACTAGTTACACTGTTTTGTGAACAAGTTGTATGAATCTCGCTTTTAAATCTATTTGTCACTATACCCCATGAACGCATATAGTGTCCAATTGTGTAATTCGCATGAAGTAACTGATGATATGCAAAAGAGATGTCGCTGCAGCTGCACATCTTGCATAACACTACTGAATTTATTCTTTTTCACACACACACCACTTTTTAAAGTGATCTGATTGTGCTGGATTCTAGTCCCCTACCTCGCTCAAATGCTGCTGGATTACTTGATGCGACACTTTAGGACTCCCGATCTTTTCAATACCCACTCAAGTGTTGTGTCATCCGTCTAGTGCGATTCGGAAACTTCGAGAACATCATGTCACATATGACTCATAATCACCTGTAACTAATAGTTTGGCATGGGAGCCACAGATTTGATTGAACCAAGATGAGCTGCGAACACAGTTGATTCTATCCGGAAAATTACGCAAATAAATGTCACCAGCCTCATTGGTTGATTATTTGATTTCCAATGTATAAGTATTTGGCTCTTTTAGTTGTCTTCTTGCATTTAACTAATAAGATCGATGCCACTTGGTACCACAGGAGTTGTCGGTAAATCTGTTTTCTGATTGGTTAGCTGAAAGCTGTACCGTTGTGCGTACGTACTTGTTGCACGATCACCACAGGGCCGCTGTGATGGATGCCCTGGATCCGACACCCTGGAAGACCGAAAGGAAGCTTTACGGATATTCTGGACGGCACAGCTCGGAGTTGGCGTGGACCCCCTTTCGCATGCCATAGCCCTGCTCAGCCTATTGAATTGAACGCTCCCGATGTTGGACGATACGGCGCTTTTTGAAATACTGCCTGATCGCTTCATGGAGAGCCTGCCGGAAGAGTTGCAGGAGTCGGTACAGATAATTGATGTCGAGAAGACCATAGATGTATTCAAACTGGCGGATAATTTGAAGGAGTTCACCTATGAGAAAGTCATACCTTTTCCAGTCAACCGAAGGCACTAGATACAGCCCACAGGAGTTGCGGTAACTCT